TATTCATATTTACTAATTGTCTATTGTAGGGGACAAATTTACATTTTCACTTTGACACTCTCAAAGAACATGGTTTTCTTCAGATTTGTTAATTTTGGGACAGTATCTTTAAGTCCAATTTATTTCTATAATGTAGATGTGATTGCATTTCAGACTATGCATTGCAAACAGCCATATCAGTTGACAAGCTTCTTGTTTTCTATAAAGTGTTGCTTAAGTTCTATTTTGTGATGAATGTTTTGGATGAAAATAAAAGCTATTACAGAATGCTCTCGCTTTGTATTGATATTTAGATCTCACTTGTTATTATTTACAAGTTAAATTACATGTTATTGTAGTAACATTTTTACATTGTACGCATTAGATAGGAATTCTTATGAGTGAGTCGCAGTTTTTAATTCACATATATCGTGATAATTGTCACAGTTTAAATAGCACACCTCACTAGGGGTTATGTAATGCCCAACAAACTCAAATTATTTTCTAATTTATGTGTTTGTACTTTTACAGAATGCTGATGATGATGATGTGGATGAAGATGGGGATCATGGTGGCCTTGTGAAAAAAATATTAGAAACCAAAAAAGAATTAGAAGGTGGTAGTCAAACTGTCCATAAACGAGATGTAAGTTTAGAAATAGTTATATATCTTGTCGATGTCTGTCTCAATGAAAATGTGACCTGTTTAAGTGATAATAGAAACCATGTTTATTTAATATTTATATTTGTAGGAGAGACCTGTCATAATGGATGCATCAAGAAGAAAAGAACGAGAAATAGTGTCTCGCGAAATTGAAAAATTACGAACAAGTATTCAGACGCTAACACGTAGTGCAAACCCATTGGGTAAAATAATGGACTATGTACAGGAGGATATGGACAGTATGCAGAAAGAATTGGAAATGTGGAAAAAGGAAAATAAACAGCATGCCCTAGCTATTAAGAGAGAAGAAGGGTAAGTATGATATCAGGTTCTAACAATATCACCAATCTGTAACTGGCTACTTCCCATTTAGAACCAATACTTTTATTCTACAATCTATCATATGTACAGGCCAGTGCTATGTTTAATTTCAACCACTTAGTTGTGATCAAGCCATGAAATTGGACAGTTCAGTACCATTTGTATGACTTGTCCATGTAATAAATGCAGTGTTGACAATGTTACATGTTTACTGACATTCATGTATTTCTGTGTTTTATAACTATTACTTGGTGATGGGCGTAAGAAAAGTTTAATTTTGCTATTTATGTGGTGACAGTTTTAGATTGCAGATTAAGTTATGATTTGTATTTGTTTACAGAATTACAGAAGAAGAATTGGAGCCATTGAAATCTCAGTTAGCTGAGCTTGACCAATCCATTGAGGACAAACAAGACCTTATCAGTGCGGTTAAAGCAAACGTACTTAGAAACAGTGAAAAAATACAGAAAATGCTTTCCAGCGTAACATTTTCATCACGGTGATTTTGAAATATTGTTTTTTTATATATAGTTATTGTAAATAAAACAATTGGCAATGTTCTTTTTCAAACTTGGTGCAAAATCTACCTAACCACTAAATCCCTACTCTCCACACTGTAGTACATTAGCTATAATTTCACACCTTGAAATAAAAAAAATGGCTATTATTCTTTGAATGCATATTCTTTGAATCCATAGCACCATAGTTGTTGTATCACATCAATTTAATGTGAGACCGTATAGTGTTGCACAGCAACTATGTGATGCTGTCATATGATAGCAACATGAAACATTCCTAATATTTACATCAAACATGCGCATATAAAAATGTGTTATTTGTTTTCAGTTTCTTAAACATCTTTGTGTAAATTTATGTGTAGAGAAAAACATGTTTGAAAGTCAGCAGCTTCCTTGTGCATTGCTCCACTGATGTCATAATGTGTTTACTAAGTTGTTATACAAGCTGTAATTACTGGAAAATATTTTATTTTAAAAATAGCTGAAATTTATATTAGCTAAAAAATTATTTTGGTATTTTGCATGTAATTTATTTTCACATGCAGTATATATTTTCATTAAATTTTATTGTTATTGCTTTTACCCCAGCAGTGAATATAATAGATCTTAAAATAAAGTCACCAATAGATTTTATCGTAGCCCAATAATAGCTGTCTGTCTGTCTGTCTGTCTGACAGATTATTACATTCTTCTTGCTAGTATATAATGTTCAAAACTATCCAAGCGTTATTCATTAACTTTTTGGCTGTAGTTTAGATAGACTGTTTTACTGGGCAGCATTTTGCCGAGTAACAAATGCAAAAGACTGTCATGTTACTAATAACTAGCAACTATTGGTTTTAACAGACTGTACACTTATGTAAATGCCTTATTATACAACAGATGAATCTGTACAATTGTATAGGTCCCTGAAATTAGCTTAATAGTATCTGTTTCTAATAAAAGAAATTTATTTCTTAAGTCTGATCCACCTTTTTTGGTGATATCCTTACTGATAGCATCTGCTGCATTCTCAATATAAAACCATATTTGATGATTATCTCTATACACAATCTGCATAATTATTAGCACCAAGTTCACATTGTGATGTCCCGAAGAGTTTTTCATTTCTGAGTTTTATAGATTTTATATCATAAATCCATCCACAGTTAAATGCATTCTTATTATAGCTATAACAATTCAACATGAGTGTACAAGATTAATTAAATATAAGTGTAAATATGAAATAATAAAAAATCTGAGTGATCATGGTTCTGTAAATATTTGATTTTTTTTCCAAAAATGTCACTGTTTTATGACTTGATATCTGCTCCTGTAATATTTTGTCATTCTCTCACTGTTTACAGTTTGTCTCCTATTCCCAGTCTATCACAAGATTGTATTACCATTGTTTTACTTCAACATGTTAAAGTACTGTATGCTTGTATTTAGTGTTGTCAGCATCAAATGCATAATAGCTTACCGTAACGTATATCACTTTTTCATGGTGAATCATAGATGCCTCATGTAACTTTCATACCTGCACTGTAGTATGTAAATTGCTGCTGCTTAGCTTCAGTAGTGTAAGAAAAAACCAACAGTTGCTGCTTAGACCCAACCAAACTCTGATGTAAATTGTATCATTATCACTAACACTAATTTGAAGTTCCAGGTGAAAGTGGACAAATTTCTGATTATATAGCAGTGCTTATCAAATCATCCTTATTTCTATTTGTCACATATGTATGTACAATGTATTAGTTTATTCAATAGAATGTCTGATATTACTAAAACATTATAATACCACTGTGAAATACAACCAGCCATTTTGGCGTTCTCTGTATGTTCTTATTATGAGCTGAACCCAGAGTTTGTGACTTTAATATTTGATTTACTCTAAATGAAGGTAAATGTACTTGTGTGAGTGTGTATATAAACCTCAGACCATTCTATTTCTTATAAAATTTATGGTGTTTTATGTATCTTGTTCAAATTTTATTTTATATTTTCACACTCTGTGTAGATGGCAATATGGATGTCTGGTCATTGTTGTTTTTTACCCAAAGACAACACATCTGTTTCTTCTTCTCAGGATACTGTTTTAAAAACTAATATACTATGGTAGATTCTCCTGTAAATGTTTTTTTCTGTTTTACTCTGTGAGATTGTTGAATTCAGTATCCAAGATGGTGTTGTGTTTATGAACTGGTCGTACCTGCAACATGAATCCTAACTTGGTTTTGAGTTGATTTGTTCAAATTTCACGTCATTGTTTGGTGATTTTTCTCACTACTAAGACTGAGCAATATAAAAGTACTTGCTTTTAATTATTGCATTCCAGATATGTCCGAAAACTTGCAAAATTCTTAAAAGTTATTAGTAGAGATGTACAGTGTTTTCCCCTTAGAAAATTTGGCATGGAGAAATGTGATTTTATCTCAAAGACCACCTTAGAATCAAATGCATTTGTATAAAAATGTATGAAATTAGAAGGAATGTTTTTAGATTGCCTAATTTCATCACAAAATTTGGGCTTCTCACTGAGTAAATTTTGTGAAAATATGGCTTAGACGAAAGACTGGACATTTCATTGTACTGTTTATGTTGTACTGACCATGTAAATTGCTTGGTGTAATAAGTTTCGAAGCTCCAAATTTGCATAAGTAGTCAGTATGTCATGCATTACCGATAGCGACTGCTTTATGATATGTAATACTTTATACAGCCAGTACCTTGCATGTCACACTACCACGTTCAGTTGTGTGAAAAACTCAAGTGTGATATATAATGCATCCTAGTTCCATACTGGGTTACGGAGTGGAAATGCTGAAGCTCATTGGCAACTGATTTTTTTTCTGTCAAATCTAGAGAAAAGGTACATGATGTAAATTTTGTTGAATTAGAAATCTCTTGTTTTCTTCATTTGTGATAAACTGTATTTATGGGCATTTGATATGATTCAATAAAGTCGTCAAGCCCTTGTACAATGTGTGATGAATTTGTATATTTGTACACTGTGTGTGAACAAACAAAACTGATCTGTTTACTTGACTGGCTTTGGGTTTACTTTTTGAGTTTTTAACTCTCATGTGTGAAGCACATGGTCCGATTTTGATGAAACTTGGTAAAAAGGTGCTCTGGAACAATGCACACACCTAATTAGTTTTGAATGCACATGTGCATATTAATTATCTTTTTGCATAATTAGTCAATTTTTTGCTTTTCTACTATGTCAAGTAATAATCACATTTTGAGGCTAACTTTGTACATAGATGCTCTAAGACAATGCTCAGATCTGATCACTTTTGGAGTAAAACTATGCATATTAATTACCTAATTTGCATAATTAGTCATTTTTCAGTTGCATGAAATTCAGTACATAAGACAATAATGTCTCATACATGTATACATGCTCAAGAAACTGCATTCATAAATCTGCGCAAACCTTGATGTACCTTTAATAACAAATTGAATTCTTTGTTAATTCAGGTCTTTGTATAATAGGACCTGGGTTTATTTGAGTATCAACACTATAATTCCCATCAAAATGTAGCCCTGACACCCCCTCTGCAGTTTCCACTGAGATTCCACTGGCTGCTGACAAATGAAGCTATATTTAGACCACATGTGTCAATGTGCCTGGCCAAGATTTATAAAAGTGACTGCAAAGTGTTTTCACTGATCTTCAACTTTGTAACCAGGTATTTCAGTGATTGCTCATGGAATGCAATTTTAACAGTTTACAGCCGTTCTGAGAATTATTCGGACAGTCAGCAAAATGACTTGCAACTTTGCAAAACACTTTGGTCTTTGCCCAATCTAGACTTGTCGGCGCCAGTTGATTGACGCGTGTTTGGTTTGGGATTACTATTTTATAGGGGTTGTCGGCATGGTGAATTGCAAGTTTTATCTAGCGTGCGTTTACAGCAGCCATTCTTTATTTTTTATATTTATATTGTAATTATTTTCAGTAATTTTAAAAATCGCAAGTTGGGTGTTGCTTAAATTTGTCGAAAAATGTTAAACCCTCGCTCATTTTAGTCAATTGTCCCTGTTACAAAAATAGACTAGACATAATAACGGTCGTCATACCCTCGTCATTTTCCAACTGCAGTTGAAAAAGTGATTCGCTCAAGGAAGGCACTTTTGATTTGACAAAGTCCATCAAACCGTCCAAAACTAATAAAATCTGAATTTGATACATAATGTACCAGTAATGTAAAAACGACTTTTAGTTTGGCTCAAAACTGTCGCGAAACTGCAGCGCGTCCAATGCTAAGGAACTCTACTTTGAACCTTCCCGCCAACGACCACAGGGAGCCCAGGAACTATAATCAACTTTAATACGCAGTCTCTATGAGCGGTGGGGGGGGGGGGGGGGGGTATCGGCTGGTATCTAGTGTAAGAAATAGACAAGGAATGAAGGCTCCAGCCAGCTCACATTTCGTAAACTCGAAAAAACAGACGAAAAAAATAAAATCTAAAAAAAAATACCAGGTTGAAGAATATTAGTTGCTCCTTCGAATTTCGCCAAAGCCTTACCTACATTTT